GTTGACATTGGGCCTTGGCAACCCAGGTTTTTCTTCTGACCTTTTTGTGGTTCCCAGGATATCTTTAGATAGGTTTCAAGTCTTACACCTTTCATGTCTCAATTGGTTTTTGTCTTTCCTTGCTTTCCCATGGGCAATTTCTCACCCTAAGATGGTCCTTCCCCCGGGTCTTGGAATGATCAAGGTGGACATGTTAATGCTTCTTTTCTTGTTTGGCACTGTCTCAACAAGCCTCCTACAGCCACACTCTTTACCTCCTTTGGGAGATGGCATGTCTGGATTGGTTGGTTTATCTTGGTGAAGTCACATCTCGCACCCATTGTTTGTCATTCATGTGGGTGTTTTATTGTTTGTATGTCTGCAGGGCTCAGCCTTATTCTCTTCTTTTGGGGGACATGGAGGGATTGGTTTTCCATATCATATCTTCTCCTTCCCTCACTATATGGGAGGTTCTTTCTCTTTTGGGGACTTGGGCTTCCGTGGAATATGGTATTCCCGTGGGTCATGCTAATTTGTGACATCTATAATAGACTGCACATTCTCTGGATCCTTGCTTGGGATCTCTTGTCAACCATTCTCCTTCCTTATGCAAAGACTTCACCTGTTGACATGTAAAAACTACTCCCATAAGGTTATCATCTTCTTTTGTTTTCCAGATGCTATATTGACAAGATGGGGGATGTCTTAACTCTCATGTGAATCTGGATCTTTGGTACCACGACATATTGCCCCTTCAAATCCACCTCTTAGAAGACAAAATGCAAAGACTTTCAAAACATCATTCTCTATACTTATGCCATCCATTCAACAAATTTTCATCACGGATACTCTGCCTAAACAATTTATCAAATAATATTTTTTAAAACTTTTGTTGTACATCGAAGTGTGAATTTTTTTTAGGATGGTTCTTAGATGTCTTTTGATGATACATACATTTAACTCTGCAGTTGTCTCTTTTATCAGTCACCAAAAGAGAGTGTCTCACTCACCCTGTTTCCACACTATTGACCTCTTTTCGGGTCCATTTTATACAAGTATGTCTAATAGGTTGTTCTTCTGGGTGTCTTATTGTGGATCATCTCTCAAGGACTGCCAAGATACTATCTTTGGAGTGGTCTCTCTGGTGTTCAAGCTGCTGTGCTTTCATCTGGACATTCGTCAGGACTGGTCCAACTTTTTTCTCCATGCCTCTCCTCTTACTCATCTTCTTCCTCACATTTCCTTTATTCTAGATGCTCCATGTTGAGTTCTCCTGATAACTCCTTACTGGCTGGCTCTGCTATGGTTTAATTTATTGCATTTTCTACTGTCATCTCCTCCTCTTCATCCTCACACCTCCCTCTCCCATCCAACACTGTTGTCACTATGATTTCATAATTGGGTTTCATCTGGTCCCTAGGGATATGTTCCAGACTATTTATATGTAGCCTTCCTTCTTTCTTAGTCAGTTCATTCTTCCTCCCTCCCTATCTGCCCATGACAAGGCACATATTCCACAGTTAGTCTCTGCATAATGTTTTCTTCCATTCCCTTCTTTCTATCCCCCATTCTTCCAAATGTTTTCATTGGCTGTTCAAACGAGGCTTATTGCTTTCAACCATGGCTGGTTACTGGGTAGCCCTACCTAATACTTTCAGGTTTTGTTATTATTGTGATGTATTCTCCTCATCTGTCTTTTCTATGTTTTTTGTTAGTTTTGCCACCTTTGTCCTCCTTGTCTTTCAGTTCTTTCTGATTGTGACCTGAAAACTGATCTCTGCACTCTTATCCTTCCTCACTTTAGTCTCTTGTTACTTGTACCTTCTTTCACTCAGGCCCTACTTCTTACTTTTGTCTGTGGCCATAGGAGATATGATGTATATGCCATTGCTGCTTCCCTTACTTTTTCTTTCATTCCTCAATATTATTTTCATTCTGTTCTGAATTGTTTTCTCTGTCCCATCCATGTGGTTCATTGTTCTTTGGTCCATTCTGCTTCTTTTCACTGTTCATACTCCCGTCTATTTATTCTTTCGAATTCCTCATTGCCCCAAGATGTTTCTCGTATCACTCTCAAGGGACGGCTACAACGCCTCATCCATTTAGCCTGTGCTTCATTGGATGTAAATTCACATAGACTCTTTCACATCTCCTCGCGAAATACGACCCTATACTCTCTTTCTCTGGCTCTTCATTTCCATCATCGATTGGAAGAGTTTGTACAAACTGGTCTGTGAACTACTACACTTACTTTTATCATACATTTTCTTCATCTTCTTGAAGTTGCTTTTCCCTTCTGCTTCCTGGTCTTGAGGTGAAGACTGTTGGAACTCTCTTTTTACTGTGGACTAGAAGACAAATACCAGATGATGCCTGGTTTCAGACTGGAGTTGAAATCACAGATCGTCATCTGATGTGCCTTAGCCACTTTACACCGTCTGTTGCATCCTATTACTGATTAAACTGACATAGTTTCTGCCTGATTTCATTATGTAATTTTTACAATAGGTGAAGATTATACCTGGTACAGATGGGGGTGCAGTCTCCCACGAGTGTGGCTTTGTACATTAGCGTATCTCACTCCATGTGTTCTCTTCGGACACCTCCAAAGAGTGCTTAACTAGATAACTTTTGCATTGGTCCCTCCAGCTTTTTAATGTGGGATTCTAGCTACTATATGAGCAGAGGTAAGGAACTGTATTTGAAGTTAACATTTTTCTACACTGAAAATGTATTTCCAATAGATACCTCTTCTTACACTTCCCACCCATCCTTCCCACTTCCAGTGCATCTTTTTGCCTAATCTCAAAGTGATGATTCTGCTGTACAGTATAGAGAGAGTCGGCTGTGCTAGGAGAGTGTATCACACTATTATTGGTGGAAGATTGTCACATGCTACAATGCAGCTATACCACATGTAAACATGTCATGTTAGGTTGGACCCTCAAGGGTAGTGATGAGCAAAAATGTGTACACATAGAGAGAGCAGTACAAATCAAGGAAGGCTATTATGTGAGAGGAGGTAACTATTTATAGGAAATACACATTCAGTGTAGAAAAATGTTAACTTTCAGCAAAATGCGTGGAATCCAAATATCTGAAAAACCAGTGAAATTTTATAGACAACATTATGTTTTGTCATAAGCTTTGTTATAATACATCTCTAGGCATAGGAATTTATAGTTAGAAGCTCACAATGTAGCCTACCCAAATACAATTTCCTTGCTTAATAATGTTCTGTGTTTTTGAGGATACGTTCATTTTTAACAAATTGGTCTGTATCTATTTTTTGTCACAGCAAAGTATTCCACAAATCTCTACCTCACTCCCCATAAATATCAGATTGAATCCACTAGACAAGACCTACAATATGCTTGAAGCCAAAATACTGGGTGCTATTTCAACTGACTGGCATCAGAAGAGCTGGCAATGTCCAGAAGAAGTTGACAGGTTCTTTTGTCATGCATTGGTCCTTAAACCATGCTTTGATGTTTGGTATATGAAGAATTAAATATAGAAACATCAGTAGATCATAATCAAGACAGATAATTTGATATGTAAACAATTCCCTAGGATTGGTTTATTTGCCTACCCCAGTGCAGTGTCTGTTCAGTGTTATTTTCTGTAGTTTTGGCTTTCTTTGATTCAAGCTTCTTGGTTTCACAATTTCTCTTTGGCTTTGATATTCCATGTGGGATTGTTGGTGCCCATTCTTCTTCAGACACATAGGATTGCTTATATTTTTCTTTGAAGACATATATTCTATAGATGAATCAAATTTTTCCTGAAGTACTGGTGAGTTGTCAAAGCAGTTTCTTTCTTAGATGTGAATGAGTTTGCTTTCTGCTATGGATCCATCTTTGAATGGTATTCATGCAGATCAGACATCTTTTATGATTGCTAGAAATATCTTTATACATTTCCCTGGATGCTTTTATGTTTTGTTTTTCTTTAGATTTTTCATCAAGTTTCTTGCTGATTAATTGATAACATACTTTTCCTCTAGACCAAACTTGTAAATAGTGGTGCTATTGACATTTATGTTGTTGTTGGGTGATTCTGTGCTGTGGAATTCATTTGAATTCATCATTAAGATCATACCTAGCTTAGACTGTACTTGTTCTTTTAATATTTGAAAATGTTTTGCAAAGGTTGATTTCCTTGGTTCCATATTCAAAGTTTCATTGTCAATCTTATAAACATTTTTGAAATGGATAAATTGGGATTTAATGCTAATGCTCATTTTAGACTCTGCACAATTGTACTCTGAGATATAGCAGTTGGGGAAAAAAAAGGTGCTCAAGATGTGAAATGATGAATTAAGATCTTTCAGAGTTGATACATTAATCATAAGGCCAGTCATGTGCATGATAAACTTGTGTGCTCTTTAATCCTTCACTCTCTTATTCAGATATGTTATGTAGTAAGTGTGCAGAGCATATGTGAATAATAGTCTTCTCTCTTCATTCACATTCCTTTCTTTTAGTATTCTACAAGAGTGTGTAAATTATTGGATATGTGTGCTTCATTGAATGATAACAAAGTATCATGAATGAAAGTCCAACTGTAATCAGCCACTACACACTGCAGTGATTTGGCCCGTGATAAGAAGGATTAGCCATAAACTTGAAATATATTTTCCTCATAATTCTCTACATGTGCAACACTATCTTATTTATGAAATAGAGACATTGTAATTTTAGTTCCTGCTTTGTTACCCGTTCTTTACCTCATGAACTTTAAGCATAAAATGTTCCTAATGGAATTTGCTGAGTATCTTTTCATACATAGTTTAAATCAATTTATAGTTTGAACATCAGTTATTGTTGTTTGGAGATTTTGTCATCATACTTGATTAGGCAAGCTAATGTAGCTATTAATTGATTAGTTTCTTCAGAAAGTGTAAAAGAAAAAACAATGTTATGTCATTGGGTTTGGTTACAGAAACCACTTAAAATGTTATTTACAGTATTACTGTTATTTTACTTTGGTTGCATAAATTTCCTTAAACCACTCATAAGATATACACAGAATGGAATACTACACATGCTAGACAGAAATAGGAGGATTAAATCACATCCTGAAAGATTTCAGTCTTGCATGGACAACTTTGATGTTATATTTACAGCTGAAGAAAGGGTTTACGATCAAGTAGTTGAAGGTAAGTGTTGCAGTTTGTTTTCTCATAAGTTAAAAATAATACTTTCAGTTGTGAATGTTCACATGTAATTTATTTTTTCCAAAGATGGTTAGTAATAATGGTATTTATTTATCTAATTGAAAACACCTTAGGTGTGAAAAAAAAAGTTAGGCCAAAAAAAGGATTCAGTGTGTGACTTAAAGGAATGAAATAAAAATTGGCAGCCAAAAATGGTAGTTATGCTTATAGCATTGATAAGAATTTTACAGCAAATATTCATTCATTAGTTAGCCAGGCCACATTTTTTTTCAACTGGGGCATGATGGTGGGTAAAACAAAATACG